TCAGCCATAATAATCCCTTTCTTAATAAAATAATTAAGCATGCAGAATAAATGTGATGCCCTTTCAAAGTTTTTTTTTTATTATGAAGTGTTTGCATGTAAGGAGTCTTCTAAATGAAATTTAAACCGCAAAGGGTTTTTTTTAACCTTTTTTTTAACAAGGTTACAGACATTTTCTTTGCAAGCTCTACTGTGAATCCCATTATTGTTTTTTTTTTATTAATGAGTAGGATTAGCAAAATACTACAGAATATTTTAATTGTCAATTGGACTGACTGACCAAACACTGATTGCACATATCTATCTTGCACATAAGATGGAAAAATAATTTAAATATATATTTTTAAAAATAATGTATGGAAATAAAGCATATCCACAGAAACAACACAACTGAGCTATTGACATAAAATAATTGATTATAAAAAAATATTTATATATAAATATATAAATATTTGACACTCAAACATAGAAACTAATTAAAGTGGAATGAGTGATAGTTTTTAAAACAAAGTCTACAGTATCACAAGTTTTTTCACAAAACAATGTGAGTAATGTCAACTTTGCATTATATGAAAATAACCAATTTGTTGTAAATCTTTTGTAACAACGAGCACGATTGCCTTTAGTTGACAACAAACCTGTGATCACAATGATTATTATACAAAAACGTTCAATTAATTTTTAACCCTAATAACAGAAGACAACCTTAAAAAAACTCCCAACTCATTAGCCTAATAGCTTGAAACAAAAGTGCAATCAGTTTCACATCACAAGCAAATGCTGTTAATGACTACATCAAACTTTCTGTTCCAAAAGGGTGACTGTACATCGAACATTCGATGATGTGAGCGTAATTGGACTTTCTTATATATGAAGGTGTGTGGATTTGAGCTTCATAGTTTTCGTTTTTGTTTTGCAATACATTTATATCTGGGTATTTCATTACAAGTGGCGCTTTGGCCCAGAGGCAATGTCTCTGTCATTGGTGTGGAACCCCAGGGTTCACCTCCTGGGCAAGTTCGAATCCCGGTTAGGGCGGTTGGTACCTTCCAGTGGACTCACCACCTGCAGGAAGGTTTAGGGGGGTTGGTACGGTGCAATGTGATTTGGGTGGAGACTGCTGCCCCCGCGACCCGGTAACGGATAAGCGGATGAAAATGGATGGATGGATGGATATTTCATTACAATTATTTTTCTAGTAGGGCTGTGTGTGTCAACACTGTAGAATGTTCCTCACAAAAATGGCACAGATCCGTCAGACTGTGGCGTAACACCAATGCACAGGCCTTTTCACCTTATAATTCAAATTTTAAACTTTGATTCATGTCTGGGCTCCGACTGTGTCATTCCAAAAAGTTTCTTTTTTTAAGGTGTTAAACCATATAGTCCCACAGCCCGATGCAACTGCCACCATTTCACTGTGATGTACAGTGTTTTGGTGACACACTCACAGACACACTTTATAGCACACTAAAATAAGCAGGTAGGTGATAAGAAAGCATAAACTGCAATAGCCTTATAGGAAACAGAAATAATGAACATCAAACTGTCTCCAATGGTTCAGGTGTTTCATGTAAATGAATTCTGACATGAATTGATATTTTATTTTGCACCACAACAAAATCCCTCTCTTCTTTGTGAAGATGGATAAGGATTAGCAGCTTTGAAGGTCAACGTTTTAAATTATACATGACATGAAAAGATAACTTTCTATTTGGCTGCTGAAAATACCACTTAAATTATGACTTTCCTTGTGTTTATTTATACTTAAAAAACCCTGTCTATTAGTAAAGACTTTGATTTTAGCTGATGTGAACTCAGCTTCTCATTACTGTAGATGCTGGAGTAGGAACCTAGGTCTAATTTCTACTTCTCTCCTTACTTACTGGCAAATAGCTCACAGAATTGCAACATAAAAGTCTGCATGTGTGTTGGTCTGGCAAAGGAAACAAGAGGACACTAGAGTGGGTGTGTGTTCACAAAGTGCCGCAGTCAGAGCATGTCATTAGTATCCAGCAGAGAAAGTCTTTGATCTCTCTTCTTGTTTGATGGTACTGACCTTGTAGTTGAAGCACTACAAGCAAATAATACATTTGGCACGGCAGCGCAAACACAGCATCAGTTACTCTAGCCTACTTTCCTGGAACACTCAGATCACAGAGAGGGCAGGGGGCAAATGAGACGACAGCATCCCAGAGGCAAACTGATGAAATGATAGATGAAGAACTCATGGACGTGTGTGAGGGGGAAACAGCGATATTGTTACAGTGATATCTTTAATTTTCGAAGAGAAATAGAGACTATTGGAAAATAGAGAGAGATCATTTTTAATTAATATAAAATTCATCTTTGTTTGTAAACAACAAGGTCCACGGGCCACTACTTGCTATTGACTTTTAACTTCAGTTTAGTCAATCTCCTTGTCGAACAACTGAGAGTCTAAAGAAAGACAAAACACTCAAAGACAGGGAGATCATTAAAGGGGAAAAAAATCACCATAATCACTATTACGGACCTCAAATATGACATGTACTTCAGGAAACTAAACAAGAGGCTTAAAAAGATTAAGTGACAATGTTTCTCTTTTCCTCTTTGTTTGTTCTTTGCACAGTAATGCAGGTGACCAAATTAGGACACACATCTTCATAGATACTGTACATAATGACTTACCACACACAGAAATGCTGCGATTATTATTACAATACTTCATATCTACAAGGTGAATGTGATAAAGAAGAACAAAGTTATCAGAATGCTGAAAGTTATTTCTAAGTGTTTTAACTGTTTTAATGACACACACACACTGTAGGGATGAGTTGTTTTTGTTATGTTTATAAATAACTAATAGTTCTGGGAAGCATTTCATTCTTTCAACATGCATCGGTGCTTTGTGACAATCAGAGGAAACGCAGCTAAATAAACCCACCTGGAGTCGTACCACTGCAGTTTAACACCAAGTATCTATGTCACCAACTGAAACTTGTCAAAGATTTCACAAAGTGAAATTTCACATCTCAATATCAGTTTTAACAAGCAGCCAGCCTCATGTCTTTACCTGCAGCCTGACTGGCAGTGCCCCACACCCCTACAGCTAACCCTGCAGATGGTACACTTCCATGCCAGCTCACTCGAGTCACCGACCAAAAAAATTAGGTGCCAATGAGAGAAGAGAAAACATAATTAAGCTTTGACAAAATATGTATTCTTCACACGCAGCCTGTTCACTGTGGGAATCACTGATCCAAATGGAGGCACTGGTACTGATAAGCCACACAAATATTGATGCATATAAGGAAAGGGTATTAAAGCAAAAAAAAAGAAAAAAAAAAAGAAGAAAAACCTGCCAAGGACATAGATGCTAAAACTCTGGTGTTACAACAGTTCCTTACACAGAAATACACACAAACACCCATACTAGTTGTATGACCTTAACTATTACAAACACATAATTTATACATAATTCTGACTCCAAAATAAATGTTGGCCCTTGAAATACCCTCCCATTCAGCAAGGACCTGCAATATGTAACCACAACATTAGTATTTTTCCAGATTTGCTCCCCTCACACACACACACAGACACGCACACACACACACACACAAGCCAGGAGAGGTGCAACTTTAAGTCTTCCCTTCTCTCACCCCCAGAGCAAAAAGACAGGGTCTGGGTTGAGGTGATAAGTACAGAAGGATACTCAACAGCATACACACACTTACTGGCACTCAGAGACAGCCATACAAGTGTGCACTTGTAAATAAATACACCTGCATTCTTCTATTCCAAACCGGGTGACATCGAATTTGTGTATACATGAAATTTTACTGATCCACTTGTGAAAAGAGCCGTCAACACCGTATACAACATGTCAACAGTCAGCAAAGACATGCACACTCATCAAAAATAAGTGTACTAATCTTTAACACACATTCAATGCATATAATCCATGTACTGCTTGGGTGGTGCTGTGTGGATCTGCACATACATAGATCCTATCTAAGGTGAATTTACACATCTACCTTTGACAGGTGCCCTTCAGGCGCTGGGGAGGAGTAATTACATCGAGCTCCAGATGAAACGCTAATGAACCATAGCAGTGGCTTTGAATATGTCCATGGATTCCAAGTGCATCTACTGACCAGTCTGCTCTATAAGCACACACTGTCTCTGGACTCTAAATCACTTAATATGTGTGGAGGTTTCCTGAACACAAACCAGAACTTGGGAGATTAAAAGAAAAGAATGGGAAACAAAACACAACAAAGTTTGTACTGAGACAGAGAGACTGAATATAGTACTAGGAACATTCAGCAAGGTTATTCATATACAGCAGTAGACGGGAAACCGGTGATAGGTTTGATTATCAAGATAAGGCATCGAAGAGCACTCACCTTAAATAATGGACTTGAATTGTTTCTCAGGGCAGGATACGATTTTTAAAAAAATCTAAAAACTATATTTACACATACATTTTATGAATGGCGTGCTCCCTTCAAAGTCCCTTCAAACCTCGTCCCCAAGCCTGTTTTTGTTCTGTCAGGGCAATGGCAGGTTGTAGACATTGACGTATTTTTGCTAGACTACAGTCCAGATCGGTGTCCTATTAAAAATGTTTGATGTTCAAAGAACTGGACTATAGTAGAATGGCTTTATCACCAACTCCTTTGGGTTTCATTTCTTTAAATGTTATGTTAAAACTTCATATAAAAAATACAATTAGTTAAATGAGTGAAAAGAGCACTAGCCATTTTATATTGGATTAATTCACGTTCTGCTAATGCTAATTCAAATTTAATTTGAAGTGTATTTCTTTTATATAAAAAATAAGACTGGGGGATACATATGATTAAGTACATTTTGGGGCAAAAATGGCATAACCCATAAAAGGTCAAAATAAAATGACCAAAAATGATTAGTTTTCCTGTTGGTTAAAGTTAAAAATCAGACTAGATGTAAAATGCTTTGGTCATTTAACAGCCTCACAACACAGAGCACTCGTCTTACCAGCTTCTTCCTCTTGTCCTGTTCTGTCGGTGGCTCTTCATCCTCACTTAGCTTGGGCTCCTCAAATTGACTCATCAGCATGCAGCTGCAGAGGCAATAATATTCATCTCAGTATTAATAAGCTCATATAAACCTGCGCAGTAGGACTCAAGTTCACAACAGGCTGCACACACACACACACAGACAATGGAAAAATACTGAGGGTTTGGCAACTTTCATCCACAGCGCTGATCTTAATAATTAGTCATGAGGATGCAGAGTCTTAAAGGAAAGACCTTTGTCCTTGGACCAAATGAAGAAGTTGAGTTCAGTGCTAGGTATATTACACTGGTCTGATTTAATAACTCTACTGAACACATTTTAATATTATTATAATATTTATTTTATTTACATTTATTATTAATCCTTCATTTTATATTTAATTTGTGAAATTAACCCGAATTTTTACAAATTAAATCTATTAACAAAATCACAAAATGACACACACTGTACTGTACCCAAAAATACCACCGTGTATCTACATATCATTGCAGTAATACACAGTCAATACACATTATTTACACATGCTGCAGGAAAAGGTTTTAGTTTGACTGAAGATCCTCTTGCCTGAGGATGTTCAGGCAAGAGGAACCCAGGCTAAAGTAAGAGCCTGGGTTTGTAGAGGCTCTTACTTTAGGACAAACACTTGTCTTGTGTCAGAGCAGCTTCATTGAGCGAAGGCCAATTGGTCATTCTGCTGCTGACAGCTGACCGACACAAATGTCAAATAAACTGTTAGGGACTGCGGACTAAATTAATATCGTAATATCATTATTATCGCAAGATACACAGCAGTGACTAAAATCCACCAACTCTATAAAGCTAAATTTCCAGTAACAATTTGCATCTTTTTTCCTGAAATTTTAATAATTCCATAACTTGAAATTATAAATATAACACAAACTATAAAGCAAAACAGATGTGACACACAGACATAAACCTGCTGTAATTTCTCTTTCTGTTCCACCAATATGCAGAAAAAAACTCTGACAAAAAAAGTTGTGATTAATTATCAATTAATTAACAGCTAAGAACATGAGGGTAAACAGATTAAAATGGTTAATCCTTTGACTGCTCCAATATTTGATTCTGAAATACCTAAAAAATGTTGGGCACATCTGCATCTTTTGTTCAACTAAACGGTGTGATTCAATGATGTGAATTTTTGCTACTTTTTAATTGGTCCCTAGAAATAAAAACAGCATAGCCATTAAGCTGTGGTTTATTTTCTAGAAGAGAAACCCTTTATAACTGCGCAATGCTGCTAGACATGAGATTTAATTTCACAAAAGAGCAAAACCTAGTTTTTTCCCCCTTTGTTTTCCAGAATGTGCTATTATTTTTGTAGTGTAATAGATTAAAGTATAATTATGCACTCTCACTGTTGAGGGTTCTATTAGTTTGGTAAACACAGACACATCTTTTTGCCTAAAAATATTTCCAGTATTACAACTGCACTTACTGTCTTTTTAAAGTGTAATAAAAAACAATTTAAGAAATGTGATAAAAAAATACACTCCACAGACATTGCAGAGAATCAGTATTTTGACTCTTTCTGTTTTGGGGTGTGTCTCTTCAATTCCATCAATGGGAATAAAGTTTCCGTTACTGAGAGTATAGGAAAAGTATGTTTAGTTTAAAATGTATTCCCAAATTTCAAGGAGAGAATTCCACCCCCTACAGGACAGAAACAAATCCACACAAGTGTCTTGGGTGGGGAGCAGCAGGGAGATGAAAAATTCAACACATCACAGGCTCATGAAAAAACACACTTTTGCACGTAACAGTTAATTTCACAGTTGTGCACTGTAGCAAAAGGAAGGGGAGGGAAGGGGGTCGGCTAAAGCAGCGTAGCATCTATGTGAAAATGAGTACAATTCCTCTGGGATAGTGAGGGAGAGAATAGAGTCATGGGTAAATGCAGAGATGAAGGTGAGCTGTGTTACCATCTCCTTCTACAAAGTTTTCAAGGCCATTTCTTCAGCAGTAATATTTCTACAAAAGTGTGTCCTCTCCCAACAGGGCTATTTATTTCCCAAAAAGCTGCTGTGCTCGGCTTTTTCAGGTATTTTTCTACAAATATATATATTATATATATCCATGATTGATTTATATTTCGCCTCACATAGAACAATTTATGTAAATGTCAAAAAAGAAATTTGGTGATAAATTTGATTTAATGGAAAGTCTAATTGGCTATGTCAAATTACTGACATTACAATACTCCTAATCCTTTTATTGTGATTTTTGAGATGTTTTTATTGTTCATGTTAGTGTGTATCTGAAATAATGACAACTGCAGTAAAATATATGAACCTGGACTGGGCGGTATATGCATTTATACAATTTATGTATGTACAATATAGAATTAAAATATATTATATTATATATAAGATATGATTTTTGCATCAGATTAAAAAATCTTAACTTTGACATTTTTTTTTGTTTCTTTCTCTTCCCTTGAAATACAGTTTGGTTCAATAACAGTGATTTAAATCTTACATGAAACTAAAAGTAGTTAAAAGTATATAAATACTTGTAGTTACATATAAAATATGTAAATATTTTCTTACGAAAACCTTACATTCTTAGAACATGTACTTACTCCTTGAAAGTTCCAGTTTCTGTGTCTTCTGTCATTACATCGTGCAGTGCCTCGACACAAATGTTGACGATGCCACAGAACTTGTCTTGGATCACACTGATGACGAGGAGAAAATACAGTCAGTACCAGTGTTTGTCCAAGATTTACAGGTTATAAATTCTATTAATGACAACAGTGAATATAACAACCAACATCTGAGCTGTAAATTGAAAACAATAATTTATATTGCTACAATTCCATAGTATTTTCCTCCCCCTGAGTGCAGAAGCTCCAACAATTGTTGGCTGAATTTGCAATTCTTCGCACAGTAGTAACTTTCAGAAAACTGTGATTTGTTGAGCCACGGCCTGTTGGCAGATAACCCTGAGGACTCTGATGTATGGCCTGCTCACAACATCCTCCACCCGAGATGTGACACAAGAAGTCGTTACTGATGAATTATTGGAGTCATTCTTTAAACACTGGAAAGAAAGTTGGGTTCTTATGACACAAAGACACAAAGACGCAAGAATTGATACGTACAGGCACCAATGCTTCAAAAAGTTCAAAGCTGTTCATTATATTCTGGTAACACAACAGCTGATGTGTGCAAATATTGAAAAAAAAAATACAGAATTTAATGTAATAAATCAATTCAAATTTCGAAATAAAATGGGAAATTACAGTTTGCTTGTGAAATAGAATTGCTGCAGATTGAGAGTCACACTGACACAAAAATCTATATGAAGACTGAATAGCTGTGTTGATAATACACACAATCTTTTTTTAATGTAATCAGATATGTGCTACTATGCACTTCAACATAGCGAGTGATGGAAATATTATACGAGCCCATCTGAAACCATGAGCTACTGCAATAACTCGGTGTAGAGAAAATGAGCCTAGATGGGAACCGTGACACATTATGGCGGATTCAGACCTCACATACAGAACGTACTCCAGGAGGGTGCCCTGGCAACAGCTAACCATGTTCATGTCTGTAGGGACCAGGGTTGAATCACTGCCAATGTTATGACAGAGAGCCCTGCACACTCATTTCCATCCTGCTGTAAATTGCACTCTTATATCAAGTGCTAAGTGTGAATTTTCCTAAATGAATTTCATTAGCACCAACTGTGTGATTCTCTGCACACATCACCTCCATTATATTTATGCACTCGTTAGTTCTTATGATAAGTTCTTCGACTTATCATAAGGTAAATTCTATCAAAGTTTTATGAAGTAGGGGCTTTGCATGAGTCTGTATTATAAGACACGACCTTTGAGGAAATGACTGCAAGTTCCATTAGATACCCAAAAGTTATTGCACTGCATTACTGCAAAACAACAAGCAAGATCTAGAGCTCCATCAAACTGAAATAATTATGTTCTCCAGTTGCTGATCTCATATTATTAGCTCACCTTGGTTGTCCAGTAATTGCCCTAATAAAGTAGGATGTAGTAAAATAAACATTACACCTGTTGATCACCTCCTTACACCTCCTGATCAGGGGTCAATTATGACCAAATCATGCTAGTGTTACAGGTAATAGTGTTGAAGAACAGAGTCATTGTTATTGTAGAGGTTTATGATGCAACAGTGAGGCAGACCGATGCCTTTCTGGGCAACAAAGAAAAATCCTCCAGGCATTTTAGGTTACAGTATTGTCTTCACAAAACCAAATAAATCATGTGTGTTGTTTTTGTGTTATTTTAAAATGATAAACGACTATGGCATTTTAAAGGTGCATACCCAGTTTTTTCTTTTATAACAAAAGGCTAAAAAGGGCAGAAGGTAACCGACCAAGTGAAAAGTCCTTGAATGTTGACAAATGTGCAAATGTCCATCTAACTGTTTAAAATTGTGTTTTAACAGGACATGTAGGGTCTCGAAGTCCTTTGACCATTATATTCAAACTCACTCAAAAGATTTAATCCAAAGGAATTTTCCCCTGGAGCAGAAAAATGTTCAAATCAGATCACATCAGAGGTTGACCTTTAACTGCTTCTGGAGTTTGACGTATTCCGGGAGAGTCTTGTGATTATTACCAAAGATCTGTGATGTGAGGTCAAACACAAGTTGTTTGAGGTCACATCAAAATTCACGTGAAAATTTGGACCTGTGCACAAAGACCATTAATCAAACTGTGTTCAGCAAAACAGAAGTGATAGATAAGATGAAAAATCTCAAAATGATTCCTCGTATGATCACTAAGGGCGGGCATACACTGTACGATTTTTGAAAATCTTGTCGTTGATACCATCACACACTGTACGAGTGATGTACGGACAAAGCTCACGATGTGACACTGTACGGAACACGACCAGAGAGCTCACACTGTGCGGGTGAAAAGGGCTCGTCGGCCCCTGCTGACTGTCCTGTCTATTATTATAATCTTACAAAATTTATTTGAAAGCTCCGGTGCTCGTTATTAGCAACATGCTATTCAAAAAGCAGAAAGCTGCCATTATGATCGCTGCGATACTGTGCGCTGAAAATTTGAAAAAAAAAAAAAAGGTTTATTTATTATTTATTGTTTATTAGGTTTATTGTGGACAGTGCCACAGCTCTATCAATCTCGTCTCCATATTTTCATGCCACCGACGCCTCGCCATGGTTACTATCACTTTGCGCAGGCGCACTGAGGGAGAAATGCTCCGGTCGGCTCGGGGCTCTGCTTCCACTGTGCGAAAGAATTTGTCGGCCGGAAATCGGATCGTGCGTCGCCAAGTCGTGCGTCTCAAAAATTGGATCAAAAATGGGTTAAAATCGTACAGTGTATGCCCGCCCTAGTCTTTCTGTGGTTCTTTTGATGGGACACAATCTATAATTAGGCACACATTTCTAAACATCTCTCCTGTGTGGTGGAAGCTAACAGTGAAGGTCTATGCTGCTGTATTCTAATGTTGGTCATCATGGTGGAGCTCAGAGAGATCAAGGTTTTCTAAGGTGGTACAGACTATAAGAAGTTTGAGAACCACTGTCCTACAGCATTGAGCAAACCAAACTGACAATTTTAATCTATTGTATGGTGTTTGCCCATTTAGTTTATTTGATGTTTTTAATTATCCTATTTATAATATTTTTTCTTATGTATTAAAACAGAACCACCTACAAGACCATTGACAGATATAACACAGTTGTCTGCCTACGTGTAAATGTACAACAATATGTACTACAACAAATTTAAAATGTAAACCAAACCAGCAAACCACTGGTAGACAATAACTTGCTCTTTTTCCTTAAGATTGACAATGCACATCCACAATAAATCCTTTTCACACTCCTGCCTCCAGGAAGGCGCTACAGGAATGTGAAGTCCAGAACATAAAGGTTGACAAACAGCTTCTGGCCCCTGGTCATCACACTCCTGAACCACAACCCCCAAAATCCATTAAAGACTATGTTTACACACTAAACTGTGAGACAGAACGCCGTGCACTTTAAACTCTCACAGACTTTTGACTCAACACCACTGTGTGCACAGTTCTTTCCTCAATTCATTCTGTCTTTGTGTTTATTTTTATACTTTAACTGTTGTTATTTTTATCTACTTGGTAAAAGGAGACTAATTTGCTCTATATGTGACAATAAACATGTGGAAATTTGAATATTTTTTATCATAAACAAATTAAACTACAGCCCTGGCAAAAAAAAAGTCCAATAAAAAAAACATTTACATTTTTTTTGTTTGTTATTTGTAACATAAAAGGAAATAAATGCAGTGACAATAGGGAATTTTCAACTTTCTAGATTATCTCTGACCTAGATTTACATCTGTAATTTTCTGCTGGTCTACAAAAATCCCAATGTCATGAAAAAAAAACAGCATCTCAAAACACCATAGAGTAAAATATAGTGATTAAAAATATAAAGCTGTCATACAAAATTAAGGTTAATTTGGGTAACTATAGGTATGTATGTATGTGTGTGTGTGTGTGTGTGTGTGTGTGCAGATAGAGGAAGGATATTAATTGTATTCACACAGGAGTCTTTTATATAAAAGCAACTGTCAGCAATGTTAGAGTGGTTCTATAAATAAAAACTAGAGCTTCTGATGACCAAAGCGGTCTTCTTCGAAAAAGGTTTCATAGCCATGCATGTTAAATACAAAATTAAACATCACTGCTGCATAAATGTTGGTGCTGCCTGGGTTCAGGGTTTAGAAAGTTTAGCTCAGCAGAAGAATGACAGAGCATTAGGGTGAAGTAATGATGAAAAAGTGCAAGCGGTGTTAGGAGATCAATCATGTACAAATGAGAGCCTGCATACACACACAAACACACACACAGCAATTTCACACAAGTCATTTCATGAACCCATTACAATAGCATAAAAATGACCCAGTCGGACTGCCACACATAAATAAGCATTAAGAAAACAATGCTCCAAATGACTGATTGTCTGGACATGTAGAAACTCAACAGAAGCTCCAGATCCATTCTCCAGAGACTTTTCACTTCTCAGCAACATTCAACTTTTAAAATGGCGAAGTATCACCACCATGATTATGGAATAGGTCTTTAAATAGGACTGACCTCAGATCTTAGTGAAGATATTTTGTATTAAGAATTTAGAAATTAAGAAAGAGAAATTAAGAAAGAGATGGGAAGTGGGAGAGAGTGTGAGAGAGGGAGAGAGAGACAGGAGACAAAAAGAAAGAAAGAGGAGAACAAAGGAGGATGAAGGAGAGATAGAGGAAGGGGGAACAAGGAAAGGGAACGAGAAAGAGAGGAGGAAAAGAGAGAGAGAAAAAGAGAGCAACAACGGTTGCCCTAAATACTCCAGAGATACTTCACTTCTCAACAACATGGTGTAGTATCACTACCATGACTATAGAAGATGAATCTAAACCTCAGACATAACAAAGCTAGACCCTGGTCGGTCACTATCTACAAAGACTTTTTAAGTTTTAGTTTCGGATTAGTTTAAGATTTTTTAAGATGTGTGTGAGGTGTGTTTGATAGAAAAACATCAACTGAAACTAATCTAACTTCTTAAAGTTTTATTTTAACAAGACGATATCTTGTCAACATAGCATTTCGCAGTCAGTGTGCTGTCATCAGCTGCTGATACAGACCAATGGTGTGAATTACCATCAGCTGGAATTTTATTTCTAACATAATGAGAACATTCATTTGAACAAAAGTGAAAAGTAAAGCTTAAAAGTAAAGATTATGGGTTATTATGGGATTATGGGTAAGTTAAGATTTTATTTTAACATTAATTATACATATCAATAATATAACAACATGTACTTAGTTGCGGCCCTAAAAACAATTTAAAAAAGATTTAAAAAAAACTATATGTTAAAGCGCACTGAAAATACAAAGAGTTACAGGACAAAAGTAAAAAAATGCATGGTAAAACACATGTTTCTCCGAAGACTCTGCTCCTGTGGCAAACAAAATGGTTCCTATCTCCTTATATACTTGATGATAAAGTGGTTCCTACCTGTTGTCAGACGGCAGAAGAGAGAGCAGGGCAAGAGACGACAGCTTCCTCCTTTCAGGCTGAGTGATATTGTCCATGCGATCGACCCACATTTCTATCACGACGCCCAGCAACTGGTCCACCTGAGGAAACGATGACGAGAAAAAGATGCAGTTCAGTGACACAGCAGCGTTCAACAACTGATGGATGTTGATTCAAATCACAATCAACAGTCAATCCAACTGACCTTTAATGTTTCCCTGTTCTTTTTTTATTTACCCGTCTAAAAGTTCCATCATAACAGACCCGTAGCACAAACATCTGGGAATAACTCTTTCAAACACTCAAGGGCTTCATGTGACTTTTTTGCCATTTCATCATAGTTTTAAGGTTCATTAGCTTCAGCCTTGTTTAAATTTAATGGCCACTGCAGTCAGGCGTCAGGTGGACATTTGAAAAGACTGCGCTGAGAGGACAGAAATGAAAAGCAAACGTGGAGCCTCACCTTCTGTCTGCTTTCAGAGGCCATCTGAGAGAGCAGTGTAGAGAAGAAACTGGAGTTCTGCAGAAGTATGCGTCCCATGATGCCGAGGTACGTCGACATCACCACCGGATACCGCTGCGAAACACAGACACAACGTACGATTTAGGCTACTCTACGTAGTGAAAAAACTCATATTATTTAAATAATATATCATATTAATATATTGCACAGCCCAGTTCAAATCCAAATGGATGTAAAATTGCACACATATACTCTTCTTTTCCATACAGCACGGACCATTATGTACTGTAGTTGATAAGGTGATAAGGACAAAGCCACTGACGGAGCAGAATCCAGTCTGTGACCTTTGTGTTTAATCAATGTCAGTACATAGTGTCTCAATAAAAAATTCACTTTGTGACAGAGAAGGACAGACAGTAAGAGTGCAAGTAAATGAGTCCACTGTGCTGTTGTTTTACCTATCGTGTTAAATTACCCGTGATAATGTGACACACTGTGTCACTGTACCTAGTGCACTTTTATAGCTTTCCGATAATTTATATGATCTTTGGCCGGAAGTATGTGCAGTTCTTACCTCACCATCCACAATACCTCTGAAGACAGCAGGCAGCAGGGGCTGGAACATGTGGGCTCCCAATATGGGGCTAACCTTTAAAGCTATCTCGACCACCTACAGAGGGGCAAAGAGAGGAAAGAAGAGTGGAATTAGGAGAAGTAGTGCAGGGGCAAAATGCACAAAGAGCATACAGAAGGACCTGCAGGGACCTGAATAGGGAGAGAAGATACAGTGTGCAAAAACTGCAGGTTGATGTTAAGATGGAGCAAAATGACATTTGACAGGAGGCTGAATAGGAATAAAACGACTGTAATTATTCTGTGAGATACTGAGACAGAAGCACACTTCATTTTCATAATTAAATCTGCTGGTCTAGTTTTAAAATAAATAAAGCCCAAGGATGAGACTGCAGACTTCTACAAAGTGGACAACACTGCTCAGCCCCCCGCCTGTCAATCATTTCAGAGTTTAAGTTGCCTTTACATATTGAGAATTTGCTTCAATTCAAATTAAGATTTAAGAATTGGTATTTCCATTTAGGGTTCATTCTAAGGACACTGTGTACATACACATAGTTCCTAAAAATATGAACATTTCTTCTGGACTATACATCGCACCAGAGCATTAGTTGCATCTGTCAAAAAAAAAGGCATCCTAAATGTAAAAAATATAATTTACTTTTTTTTTTGGATATAAGTCACATTTATTTTAGAAACATTTTTCACAAGAATCCAAGAATGCACGTGTAACCTGGAAAACCCTTTGATTTACCCAATTGTTTACCCAATAATTTACCCAACTAAATATATCGAAATATAACAAATATAACAATAAAACAAAAACTAACAACCTCCTCACTGAATTTTTAAGGAAGGAACTCCTTGTTCCATTGTGACCACTGCACACAACCAAATGTGACCTTTGCATTTAACCCATCACCCAGCAGTGGGGATAGGGATTAGATTATAACTTGGGATTCGAACGTGCAACCTTCTGGACCCAAGTCTGCTTCCTTAACCACTAAGCCGTGGTTGAATGTCAACAGTCATTGGTGTTTTCTCAAAATATTCCACTAACTCCAGTGGAGGATCAGGCACAGTCAGAACTGATGCTAAAGGTGAGTATATATAAATTAACAATAAATTAACTTGCGTGTCTGTGTGTGAGTACCTTCAGAACTTGGACCTGCCCCTCATTGGTTATGTCTTTGAGCAGATCAGAGAAGGAATGGCACAATGATTCTGCATAGTTCTGGAAAGACACAAATTGGCACAATAAAGAGTTTTTCTCTGTGTGTATGTATGTATGTGTGT